ACACAAACACACACACACAAACACACACACATACACTCACAAACACACACAAACACACACAAACACACACACACACAAACAAACACACATAAGCACACACACACACACAAAGACACACACACACACACACAAACACACACACACACAAACACACACACACAAACACACACACATACACTCACAAACACACACAAACACACACAAACACACACACACACAAACAAACACACATAAGCACACACACACACACAAAGACACACACACACACACACAAACACACACACACACAAACACACACACACAAACACACACACATACACTCACAAACACAGACAAATCCACACAAACACACACACACACACACACACACAAACAAGCACACACCCTGGCCTTCAATTTCGTAGAATCCGAGTGTTCGTTACAGCAAATAAATATAAGGTTTATGTGTAGAAAATCATAGGCACCGAGCAAGTAATGTAGAATGTATTCGATTTTTTCAGTCAAAATTAGCTTGGTTTCAAATGAGAGGCATTTTCGTTTGTTTGGTACCGAAGTAACTTTGACTATCTGCACAAAACAAACATTCTAAAACAGCTAATGACCATAACCACGACAGTAAATGAAATGCAACCAAAGACAGGTATAGTACAGACAAACTAGCAAAAGCTGCGGAAAAAGTAGGCCTTATAATAAATGTATCCAGAACAGAAGTACTACGACTATCATCAGAAACTACACCCATAACACTTTATGGAGAACCCCTTGCAGAAATTAGTTAACTCAAGTACCTTGGCAGCATTATATCCAAACCTGCAGACTGCCTTGACGATGCCCACCAAAGACTCAAAAATGCAAGGATCGCTTTTGTAAAATAATTCCATTTTATTAGTAAAATTCTTCGTAGACATTTTGCTTGGAAGCTTTTCAATTTTCATTTAATTGTTTTATTTGTTTTCCATATCTCTGAACCATACGTCAATACAGCCAAAATACTTCTGTTTTATATTTTAAATTTAGTCTTCAAAGAGATGATCGTTGATTTCCATATAGTTTTTAAGTTCACAAAAGCGATCCATGCATTTTTGAGTCTTTGGTGGACGTCATTACTAGACCAGCTCCGTAATCCAATCAAGGGCTTTGTACAATCGCTAGCAATGCAGTGAAAGGGTTAACGACACCTACAACACCCACCTGGGGGCTGTGAAAGCGAAAGGGTTAACTACATCTTCAACTCCAACATAGGAGCAGTGAAAGTGAAAGGGTTAACGACATCTTCAACACCAACATGAGTGCAGTGAAAGGGTTAATTACATCTACAACACCCACCTGGGGGCAGTGAAAGGGTTAACGACACATACAGCACCCACCTGGGGGCAGTGAAAGAGTTAATGACACATACAACACCCACCTGGGGGCAGTGAAAGGGTTAATGACACCTACAACACCAGCCTGAGTGCAGTGAAGGGGTTAACGACACCTACAACACCCACCTGGGGGCAGTGAAAGGGTTAACGACACCTACATCACCAACCTGGGGGCAGTGAAAGAGTTAATGACACATACAGCACCCACCTGGGGGCAGTGAAAGGGTTAACGACACCTACAGCACCCACCTGGGGGCAGTGAAAGGGTTAACGACACCTACAGCACCCACCTGGGGGCAGTGAAAGAGTTAATGACACATACAGCACCTACCTGCGGCCGGACGTGTGACTGGGCCATGGTCAGCTGGATGTAGCTCTGTGTGGTGGCGCCCCAGCGGGCCGCGTCCTTGTGGACGAGATCCTGGCATACAAAAACCACGCCAGACGCCAGTGAGTTTTTTGTCGCACATTGTTTTTGTAAGAGTTTTACGGCACTTGCAACACAATAAGGTCATATAAGTGCCGAAGAATAGATGGGTTACAAGAGAGTAACAAACACAAAAAAGAAGGAGGAGAGATATGGACGATAGATGTTTGATAGGAAAGAAGGAGCAAACCACACCAGAGCACCCGCCAACCACCCACATCAGTGAGTTGGAGTAGACAGAAACTCACCGACACAATAACACGGAGACGTCTCTATCTCACAATTACAAAGTTCTAACGGACAATTTTTTAGAATAGTTTAGTAAGAGCTTTACGGCGCTCGCAACTGCATAAGGTCATCCAAGTGCGGCTGACATTTTGGGCCGTTTTGAGTTACTAAGACCGTGCGGTCGGAAACCAAATGTACCATCCGCTTGATCAAACTCGTAAGACCATTTGGAGTCGTTATCAAGATATTTAAAGAACTGCATTTGAAAAAACTTGACATGATATGAAACCAAATTGTTGACGCCAAATTTCTCACAAGTGGGTAACGTAGGCTTTGTATTTCTACGGTATAGTGACTTATTCGTGGTAGGTCAAAGCAAGACTGATAAACAGAAACACACAAACACAGTAACACCGTCATTTAGATCTATTAAGAGAAGGTCAAAGCAAGACTGATAAACAGAAACACACAAACACAGTAACACCGTCATTTAGATCTACTAAGAGAAGGTCAAAGCAAGACTAATAGATAGAAACTCAACGACACAATAATACGGACATTTCCAGAAATCTTGACCTACACCAAAAGTGTGCTTGCCCTACCTACGGGAGAAGTATTGGTTTCATTGATGTACATATTTGTTTGGTTATAGAGAACACTCCCCTTTCTTGTAAAGAAACTGAACAAGGGGCAACAACTTATCCTTGATCTTCTCAAAACAGCATTTTTCTGGATAGCCCCCTTGTGCTTAAAAGCAACCATTTATTAGAGGAAGGAAATGGAGACTGATAGCCATAAACACACCGACACGACAGTGAGTGGCAAGGAAAAAAAGCTTGATAGATAGACAGACCCAACAACAAATGGAGATCGGTGTCTGCGGTGTAGTGGTGGGGTGTTTCGCTGCACACCGGAAACCCGAGTTTGATCCCCGAACTGGGAGAATTTTGTCAAGTATCTCGACGGTCTTTCAACAGGGATGGTATCCCTCTCATCCATAGTGTTCTTAAATACTTATTTAACCTCACTATGATCTCATCCCAAGAGGGGTCTCTCTGGAGGGTCGGAATACCGCCTCGTAACCTTATCCGTACACCCTGGGGTCATTTTGTACCCCCGGATTGTATTCTTCACATTTTAGAATACTTCTAGTACGAAGATGTCTTTGAAACTTTCAGTATTTCTCAGAAAATCATTTTGACAGACTGCTATGCAAAGTGTATGGATCGGATTAACGCGTTAATTTCCTCTTTGAAAGTGGTGGCACAGAGTTCCCCACGTCCTATGGATACGATAGTAAAACACGACGTACGGATAGGGTTAAGTGGTGGCACAGAGTTCCCCACGTCGTATGGATACGATAGTAAAACAC